CTCCAAAGCATGATGCTACCACCACCATGTTCCATAGTAGGAATGTCATTTTGAGAAAATGTGTGTCCATCATTTAAAATCAGAATAAAATGGAACAAAGTTTGGAGTTTAAGGCTCTAAATCCGCAGCAGGAGATTTATGTCCACATTTTTTCTGCAGATTGAGAGCCACAAGCTGAGCTTCCGTGAGACGGCCAAGGCTCGCACCGACCACGGCGCTGAGATCATCTCTCTGGAAGACTCGCCCCGGCAGCTCAGCACCGTGTCCTCCTCCGGCAGCATCAACATGACCGACTCCCCGCAGCTCTCCACGCTGGCCGACCAGGTGTCCGCCTCTCTGGCCCAGCAAGGCTTGTGAACGCGCCCCGCCCTTCCTGCACCACTAGAGGAGTCCTCCTTACTTTCACTGGACTTTTTTTTAAGCTACCCATCACTGTTTATCCTCCACTAACCTTTTAACTTTACTGAGGCGTAACTTTTAGAGAACAGGTAGGCCAGAGTGCAGCGGTTTCTCTCTGTGGTCTTCTTGCAAATATTTAAACCTTTTGTAGTAAATATTTAGGATTTAATGCACCCAGTCGAGCAGAAATTTCCCAGTGAATCTGAGTGAATTCTTTCAACTCATCCTGATAAAAAAACGGCCTGATTTCCTTTCAGACTGTAAATCCTGACAGATTCACCTTTGTTTTGTTTCTCTGACCCCCGTTTGATTTAAAGGAACAGTGACAGAATCTCATGAAGGTTTGGGAGGAAATGTCAGAAGAATAGTAGCATCTTTGTCTCTGCAGAAAAAAAACCCTCACTGCTTTCTTTGCTTGGCGTCCAGACGTGTGCTGCTCCTCAGAGGAGGGAGGAGACTCTGGTTGATGGTGGAGAAAATAGGAGCACCGAGGAGCTGAAGGAGGCGAAACAAAAGAAACCTGATGAGAAATGTTTAGATAAAGTCGAAGGAATCGAACCGCCTGCGTATTTTAGCTGGTTTGCTTAAAGCTTAATGTTGGGAAACGTCCGTCAGTTAAAATGGGATCTAAATGAGGCGGACGCCATCAGGATTTAGGCCCGTCCTCCTCGCTGCTCCTATTTTCAACACGCCACCTTCAGCACCGGCGGTCGGAGAGTTTTCTATGGTATTCTCTGCATTTATGACATGTATTTGATATGAACAGACATTTGTATTGTGCCTGCTACTGTCAGTGTTTTTCTTTTTTACTGCTCCTATTGTACATGTGCTAAAGCTTGATTTATGGGGGAGGGGGGGCAATTCATCACCTGTCTGCAGTATTTAAAGCGATCAATCAGAATAACACTAACTAGAAAAGCTTCACTGGCAGTTAATCTAAGGATGAAATAGTTAAATGAAGCAGTTGTTGAAAGGATGGAGGGGTTTATGTTCACTGAATCCTTTAAGGAGGCAAAAAAAGCAACAAGTTCACCTCCGGAGGCACTTTAACCACGCTGCTGCACGCCGTCAGACCCATAAAAACTGAACCTTTATCTTCAGTGAAAATACTTCACGTTTAAACTGCTGGTTTCATGCGTCCAAATGGATCAAATCTTTTAAAACGAAACGCATACACTGGATTTCAGTCATTTTTTCTTAAAATAAGTGCATTTGTTCTTGGATTGAGAAGCTAAAAGAGACATTTTGCCAATAAAATAAGAATTTCCATCTAAAATAAGAAAATACAATTTGCATAATACCCAATTATCTTATTTTAAGAGTAAAAATACTCATTCCATTGGCAAACTTTCATTTACCTACTTAAATTAAGGGTAAATACACTTAATTTAAGACATTTTTACTTATTTATAGATCATTTTTCAAGTTCACAGGGTTTCTACAGGTTTAATAACTAAACAGCTGTAAAAAGAGGCTTTTATGCATTTATGTGTCGACCTGCTAAAAGATCAACTTTACTCAGATTTAAATGAAAATCTTCACTTTTCACGAAACGAACCACATTAACGACAGTTGGGATGAAGTTACTGAAACATTCTGCTTTTCATCCCTCCACAAAAAGGCTTAAATATCATTTTATTAAAGCATAATCCTCCATTTTTCACACAATTTAAAAAAAGGTGCCAAAATATTCCACAGGTACGGAAAAATCTGGGCGGAGTCGCCTCGAAGAGCCACAGAAATCCTGGCGTGACCACGAAGCTCAGACCTTCAAACCTCCAGCAGATCCTTCACACCCAGTCCCTCGTCGGCCATCTTGGCTCCGATCAGACCAGATTCTTGCATGCGTCATGTAAGAACATCCTCCCTTTCACAAAGCGGTCTCCCTGGTTACCCGGTCTGCTACGTCACCTGCATGCCGACTGTAGCAGCAGCATCAGAGCACCGTCAGGATCAGCAGGGTGTGTGGGGGGGGGGTCGAAGCTGATCCCCGCGGTGCTGCAGACGTCCCTACAGTAACAGCACTCACCTTCATTTAGTTTTTGGTAACTTTGGCCGCTGTACAGATGTGGAAATGTGATCGTTATTGTTATCGTGCGTTGATCAATAACTGGTTTATGATGATTCTTGTTGCTGTAAATGTGTATTTGAAATAAACGCTGCAAAGTCACGCAGGAGTCTGAATGGATGAAACGACGAGCCGCGGTGCCAAGTTAAACATAAATGTTTTAATGGTACTATTTACAAGAAAGAAAACAATTCTGCTTTTTGATTAGGTTATAACTGCTGCAACAATTAAACAGGTACATTTACATCTTAACTAAAAAAAAAAAAGAAAAACATTGAAGGGCGGTGGCAAACAGAGGAGGCAGGAAATGAAAACAACCATAGACTTTTTTTTCTTTTTTTTTTTGCATAGCAATTAGTCACGTAAAGTGAAGGAGGGACGCGGTGAGAGGATAATTACATGGAGGTGAAACTGATCAACTGATCGCTCTGAGAGAAGAAGAGTTTCATTGCTTTCCGGAGGAACCTGAGCTCGGGTGACTTCTGACAGCTGCTGCTCTACAAATGTTTAATTTCCTGTTAAGCTGAAACTAAAACTATCAAAGAAAGAAAAGAAGCAGGGAGGTTATTTAATTCAGATTAAATTATGACTGTTTGCAAAGAATTGATTCATTTCTTAGATTATTGTCGTGATATTTAAGCTTTTTGTTATATTTTTATTTGTTTATAGCATGCAGCTGCGATGCTGAAACATAAAATAAGATTAAGCAGCTCCGGGTCTGTGGGTCACCCTTGTTTTAAAACGGGGAGGGGGGGGGATCTGGAAGAATGTCCGACTCTACAGATAAAAAACAAATCAACGCGTGATCAGAGAACCAGATCGACAACAACAACAAAAAAACATGTGAGGAATGAAAACAGAAGGAAAGCAAACCAGCAGAACTAGACTTGGCAGTACGAGAAGTGCTCTGGTGACTTCAGGCGACCTCTAGTGGGGGAGGAGGGAACCACACCTTTATGTACCTGTTTCTGTGGATGAGGAGCAGAAGGAAGGACATGGGGGGGGATTTTTTTCTTGTTTTGATATTTGTCACTCCACTAAAAATGTACATGGGGATTTACAAGCAAACTAGTCAATAGAAAACACCCTTTGGCCGTATGTTGAGGAGTCGCTACATAGTGCGCTACAAGTGAACACGCGACATATGAACACCACTAAGCCCCCATGTACATTGTTTAGCCTACTACAGAACTCACTTTTTGTAATGTTTTATACTTTTTTTTTTAAAATTAACCTTTTTTTTTCCGTGACAAAAACCAGGTGAAGGGAAAGGCTTCTATCTCCGTAATGTTCACTAAAAACTGTGAAAGAATTAGACTGATGTTTGAATATCAAACAACAGGAACCCATTGAACGTCGTTTCAGCTTTGAGGTTCTGCGTGTTAATGCCAGAGGAGCTGCGGGGGAGGGGAGGGGGGGGCGACGCCGTTCATCGGTGGGAGGAGGCCCTGAGTTTGGGGCCGCCGCCGTCGTCGTCGCAAGGCAGCTCTGCGTCGTCCGAGTCCAGGCGCCCGTAGGCGGACGCCCTGCAGCCTGAGATGCTGCGAACCCTGGGCCGGATGTTTTGGTCGGGTTCGGGTTCTGGAGCCGGGTCTTCGGGCAGCGGGAAGCTGCGGCGTTCCCAAGGCGCCACGGTCTGAAAGCATCACAGAAAACAAGTTGAAGAGTCAGCGATCGGTGTCTGATGATGACTCAGAGGGACGCGGCGGCTTCTCTACGCACCCGTTCCTCAAAGGTGAAGTCTGGCGTGGAGCACCGCGTGTCCTCGTTGGACAGCAGCCGGTGGGAGTCCCGGGAACATGGCGTCTGTGGGTTGGAGGACGCGTCGGGGCTGGGGGGGCTCATGGGCGACGGCACGTGGCTGTAGTCGTGCAGCGATGGGCAGTGACCGGGGTCTGGCGACGCGGGCTGAGGGGTGGGAGGGTTGGTCCCGTACAGCAGAGGCGTGGTCCGCCCATCCACAGACTTGTATGACCTGATGGACACGCAGGTTGGCGTCACACGGATCGGAAAGCTGGCGAAAGGAGGAGGAGCCAGGACTCACCTGCTGCCGCGCCTCTTGGCGGGAGCCAGAGCCATCCAGGTCCAGCGGGAACGCTCCTGGTCCTCGTAGGGCTGATGGAGCGCGATGAAGGCCGCCTCAGAAAGGTCCTCAACCTGCAGGGGTCAGACCAAACGCCTCTGAAGCTCTCAGCTTTTCTGACCGCAGGAAGCAAACTATTCCGGCCACGCCGCGCATCATCGACCATCAACACGGTTTACAGCAAGTTCAGGTCAGAAACGTGAAAAGTTCAAAGCAGAACATCGGCTTTTCCACCGAAACACAGTTAGAGGCAACGGATTAAAATCTAATCTGGTCTTTAAAAGGATGTTATTAATGTTGCCCCATGTTTACTATTTATTATTCATTTATTTTACTAGATGACATTAAAAAAAATAAATAAATCAATCTTCTCATCCCATAGCAATGAGATACTAGCGTAAAATGCATGTATGCTCAAACCACAACGATCTCTTTATGTAAACAAACTGTTTAATGTTTTTATGATATTTTATCCTGCTCTTTATCACAACATGCGATCTTCGTCTGTGATTCTGCGGTAAAGTTCAAACTATAACAGATTATAGCCACAGAGGCATTGGCCTAAGCTTTCAGTCAAACATGAATTTAAATAAAGTCGAAATCCTCGCTCTAACCTTTGAATTGAAAACCGCTCCACCATGTTTCTTCCTCTCCGCTAACATGCTCTGTTACCAACAAATCTAAAGCTAGAGAAGAAAGATGTGGAGCTCCATAAAGGTCCAGAAGCAGCGGCTCAGATTTTACTTCTTAGATCCGCCTCAGTTTATGGTTCAGAAAATACGCCAATGAGAAAAAAACTTCATCCACACATTAAAAACCTGCTTCTGCTTTCAATAAAACGAAATGTATCCCTTCGTCTCAGGAGATGATTTGTTTCCTTTAAAATCACATCTCCATTTTTTCTGAAGCATTTCTAAAAAATAATCAGCAGCAAATAAGAAAAGACCAATTTCTGCATAAAATGTGATCAACATCAAACTAAGTAAATAAAAGAAAAGTGGGAATCATGACAGTTTCAGATGAAGATTGTTTCAATATGTGGAAAACACATCAAGGTTCACGGATACGGAGCGATCTTTCATCACGCCTAAAGTCAAGAGTAGATAGAAGGACACAAACATGGGGTTTTGGCGTAATGGTGGATCAATAAGCGCCGATCATTCTCACGTATTTAAAACCGTTCTAAAATTGTTCCATTTTAGAAAAATGTATTATGAATTCTAATGAGTTGTGTGGAACTACATCTTTGCAATTTCAATAAAACCAAATGATAAAAGACATATCTGATTAAATCTTCAGAACTTTTCTGCTAATTTTCTGAGATTAATAAGGAACATTTTAACATGATTAAAAGGTTATTAAAAGCATCCATCTTATCCAGGACACAGTTAAACATCTGACCAGCAGGTGTCGCTGTTTGCCTACCACCACCTTCAGGTATTTCTAACCATAAATGAGAGCAATAAAGCAGAGAAGTTCCCACCTCTCGTTCGTTCTCCTCCTCCGTTATGGGCTGTGAGAAAATGTCCACCGACCTCCAGCTGACAGAACAAGGAGACATGTTAGCGTAGAACCGGGACGGATCGCAGGACAAAGCAGGAGAGACGGCAGAGGAGCCGTTTACCTCGGGGTGAGGATCTCCTTGTACTGCAGCTTCTCCACTCGGGTGGTGGCCGCCACAGACATGGGAATCACGATGTTGTTGATGTCGAAGGAGCTCTCGCCCCGCCTCCGTTTGATCGGCTGCTGCTGGAGGAAACATCAGAGTTAAACTTTATTTCAGGGAAACTTTAGACGGTTCATTATGGAGCCATGAAGGAGCAATAATCATGATTGATGTGAATCTTTTTGAGAATCTGTGAAATAAAGATTGAGAAAGGAAAAAACTGCTGAACAGCTGGACTCGTTGAACCAAATCAACTGGATGTTTTTGTTTCTCTGCTTTCTTCTGCTACTCAACCAGAAAGAGCCGAAACCACGAAGGTTTCGGTTTGAGTCTGAGCCTCTTTTATCAGAGACGTTCAGGTGGTCTGTATCTGCTCCAACGCTAAGGTCTGTTTACAGTTGGAAACATTTACAGTAAAGCTGCACCCATCCAGGCTAAAGCTTCCAACCAGATGAAAACTGCAATTAAAACCTAACGATCTGCGGCTTCTGGAAACGCTGCAGACGGGCAGCTGTGCTGATCAGATGGAAATCACACGATTGGGCGATTCTAAAACTAAACAGTTTTTGTTAAGTTTTGTCTCGTCAAAAAGTTGAAACTTTAAATGTTTAGTTGAGCACAAATGTTTTTTTTCTCCACAATTTTCCTTCCATTTAGGGCTTAGGAGCAGATTCACTATCAGATCACTATTAACTATTAAAGTTTCTAACATCAGCAGACAGAAACGCCACCACAGGTTTACATTAGAACACCTGGAGCTACACTGTTAGGTACAGTGGAGGTTCTGTGGTTCTTTGGGCCGTTTTCCTTTAAACATCCTGGTGAAAAATGTTGAGACACCAGAGGTCTGACCTTTAGAACTGGAGGAGATATTTTCATCTCTCCTGCACGGAGGCAACAAATCAGATTTATCTGGGAAATTCTGTGCAGTTCTACTCTTTCCAGCAGGTTTGGCCAATAAATCATAAACTATCTGATCAACATTGAGCTTTATTTCAGTAACTGCACTGACCTCTGATCCAGAACCTCCTGGTATGTTGGGGAATATAGAATATAGGCCTCTCAGCCTTTAACTATGGAGTACCAGGAGAGCCAATATAATAGAAATACTTACAAAAGTTTTTTTTAAAGGTTTAGTTTCAGCTTATACCCAGTTTGATAACCGCTTCTTAAAAACTTAGAACATCGAATCAACCGTTTAGAAACAGGTTGTTCCCGGTTTCCTAACAGCGCGTTCCCGGTTTCCTAACAGCTCGTTCCCGGTTTCCTAACAGCTCGTTCCCGGTTTCCTAACA